TAAACTTTTCTTTCTTAACCTTTTTGTGTGTTGCAATTCTTTGCATCTACTCGGATCTCTGGGTTGCCAGCGCGCACTTCCGGCTTGCCAGCCCCAGCAGTGCTGCGTGCCTCTCTGCACCTCTCCTCTCCACCTCACAGCCCTCACCCTGTCCTAACCCTTACTGGAGACTTTGTTGCCCAGGCTGGAGTGCAACGTCACACTCATGGCCACTGCAGCCTTGAACTTCTGGACTCAGGCAATCCTTCCGCCTCAACCTTCCAAACAGCTGGAACTACAGATGCACGCCACCACGCCCAGCTAGTTTTTGTGATTTATTGTAGAGATGAGGTCTCACCAATTTGGCCAGGCTGGTCTCAAACCCGCAGACTCAGGCAATTCACTCACCTTGGCCTCCCAAAGTGCTGGGATTACTGCTGAGCCACCGAGCCCGGCCTGCAATCCTTCCACCTCAGCCTTCCAAGTAGCTGGAACTACAGGTGCCTGACACCACACCTGGCTATTTTTAAAATTTATTGTATAGACGAGGTCTTGCCAAGTTGCCCAGACTGGTCTTGGATCCCTGAGCTCAGGCAATCCTCTCACTTCCAACTCTCAAAGTGCTGGGATTATAGGTGTGAGCCACTGCATTTGATTGATTCATGCTTTTTTAACCCTTCTCTCTCCTAAAATTATATTCGCCTGTATTTTTTTCTTGAAGTTTTATGTTCTTCTTTTCACACTTACATGTTTAATCTAAGTGGAGTTTTTCCTTATGGTGTGAGGTAGGGATTTAATCTCATTTTATCCTTGTGGGAAACCAATTACTTTCACATTATTTATTGAATAGCTTATCTTTTACCCACTCATTTGTAATGCCATCTTTGTTACAGGTTTATTTCCAGGTTCTGTGATTTGTTCCATGGCCTAGATTGCTTATTTAAACATAGATTTCTAGGTATCAACCCAAGATTCTAATGCAATTCATTTCAAATGGAGTCCATGAATCTGCAATTTCAATAGCAAACCCATGGTTCTGATAGAAATGGCCCATAAACCTCACTTTAAGAAACATAGTCCTTGACTTTAGTAAACAAAAGAAAATACCAGAGTCCAGAAGATAATATTATTTAATACAGGGATTCCTCTCCTTTATAACTTGTTCTCTTTCCATGTAGTTCCCAGAACTTTTATTTTTATTTTTTTGAGTTGGAGTCTTACTCTGTCATCCAGACTGGAGTGCAGTGGCTACTTCCGGCCACCGCAGCCTCGACCTGCTGGGCTCCGGCGATCCTTCCGCCTCGGCCTTCCGAGTAGCCAGAATTACAGGCATGCGCTACTATGTCCGGCTGATTTTTTGATTTACTGTAGAGATGAGGTCTTGCCAAGTTGCCTAGGCGGGTCTCGAACCCGCGGGCTCAGGCAATCCACTCACCTCAACCTCCCAAGGCGCGGGATTACGGGCTGAGCCACCGAGCCCGGCTAGTTCCCAGAACTTTAACATCCACTATTTGACAGCCCATTTCGGTGCAACCTGACTCATAGATGTCTAACCAGAGAAAGAGGCTAAACCCTTACCTAAACTTAGAAACTCATAGTAAGCAGGTGGGTATATCTAAGTAGCTACCTTTCCCATGGTAGTTAATAGTAGATTTAACTTTACCCTTGTAGTAAAACTCTATCTACAGCAGCGTAACATTATCTTTATAGCCCTCAACAGAATACTTATATTAGCACAACAAATAAACTCTCAGATATATGAGACCAACATAGATGCACACACACACAAATTAACCAGGAGGGCAGAATTTGTTTAGGAAAGTATTATTATCTTGCTAAGCAAACTCAGAAATTCAATAATTAGATAGTGTCCACTGGCTCTGAGCTGCTAATTCAAAGGTAGAAATAGTAGGAAAAGTAAAAGAAAACATTCTTCTTTCTCATTCTTCCAATGTTACTATTCTATAAGTCTTTAATTGCCTACCTTTATGCTTCATATAAATCATATGTCTTCTGTAGGCAGTTAAAATAAAGAATCAAAAACAAAAGGACCTCTTTTGTTTGTTTTTTGAGTAGGAGTCTCACTCTGTTGTCCAGACTGGAAAGCAAGGGCACGCTCATAGCCACCACAGCCTCGACCTGCTGGGCTCAGGTGGTCTTTTGTGTCAGTCTTCCAAGTAGCTAGAACCACAGGCCCCTGCTACCATGCCCAGGTAATTTTTTTCTTTATTGTAAAGATGAGTTCTTGCCAAATTGCCCAGACTGGTCTTGAACCCCTGGACTCAGGCAATCCTCTTGCCTCCGCCTCCCAAAGTACTGGAATTACAGGCGTGAGTCACTGTACCCAGCTGGAACCCCTTGTTATTTTGATCAAGTAGGTAGCAACAATATGGACACTACATTGACGAATTAGAAGTGACTATCCAAAATATCCAACAAGGGCCAGGCTCGGTGGCTCAGCCTGTAATCCCAGCACTTTGGGAAGCCGAGGCGAGTTGCCTGAGCCCATGGGTTCGAGTCCCGCCCAGGCAACTTGGCGAGCCCTCGTCTCTACAATAAAAGCAAAAATTAGCCGGGTGTGGTAGTGCGCGCCTGTAGTTCCAGCTACTTGGGAGGCTGAGGATCACCAGAGCCCAGCAGGTCGAGGCTGCGGTGGCTGGGAGCATGCCACTGCATTCCAGTCTAGGCGAGAATGAGACTCCAACTCAAAAAAAAAAAAAAAAAATCCAATAAGTATACTTGTAAATAGACTGAATCCAACTATTTTAGATAATAGAGTAAAAAAATTGTAACAAATCAACAAATTAAGTCATTTCAAGGACACTGAAACAAAAGGCAAAAAATATGGATTATCTATATAATAAAATCACTCCTTCCCCACCAAAATTAATTTTGTTTTTATAACTGACCTTCCTGGGGATAAAACTGCACAGGAAGTCCCTAATCCTTCTGATTCCTAATCTTGTTTATGTATCATCTACCTACCTGGGTCCTTACTTAACCTTGATGACATATGTTTTCAATATAAAGTTACAACAAAGAAAAGCTGTAATTACTGAATCTCTTTCTTTCAGCTGTTAAAATAGGTGATTCACAGAAATGCGAGACACTACAAAAAGAATTTTCCAGTGCTCACAGAGCACAGCTTCCAGGAAGATACTGGGATAAATACACTTTCTTGTGGCAAAGACCCTGGCCTGGAATCCAAATGGATTATATGTTTCAGAGCCGGGTGTTATTATTCATCTAGTCTCTGTGTTCTGAGAACATTGCTTAAGCAGGAGGAAAATCATAGCATTATCCATGACCTTCCTGTAGACAATCAGAAGGCATTCCACTCAAATGCCAGTACTCATATCCTGGAGATGGTATTGGCTCCATTACCCAGTGACTGGTTCTCTGGTGTGTGAATTTTCTAGCTCTCCCTCTACACACAGATAACATTAGCATCATATGTAGGTCAGTGTACTGGAGAGCAAAATTGCTTTCAAAACCAACCAAATCAGATAAATAAACAAAAATTCCAGGTACACATTACTTTTAACACTATAGGTACTGTAGGCAGATATTAAAATGACATTGCTGCCCAAGAAAGAATTTGTTTTTAGACATGAAGATTGATGTGATTTGGAATTCCTTTAACAAGGGCTGAGGATCTTGAGGGTTGGACAGGCAACATGCAAGCAGTGATGGGCAGTGGGTCATCAAGGAGGTCTGGGAACTGTGGTCTTCCCAGGATAAGGGCCCCAGCAGTGGAGCTTGGGCTGTGTGTGGGTGGGGAAGGGAGATGCGGGGAAGGTGGAGATAGAAGAAATAGGGCACAGAAACTTGAGAAGGTCTGTTGCCAAAGGTGTTCATTTTCCAAGCCTTTTAACTCAAATTCTGCTTTTTACCTAAACCTTAGCGTTGAACCATTTCACTGCAATGCTAGTATTTCTCCCACTTGATAGGAAGAAAGAGTGAAAATGTGGGTGGTTAAAACACTGAGAGGTCATTAGAAAGTAGTTGTTTCTATCCCATTAGTTTATGGTCAAAAGGAATGGGAAGGGAGCACCTATTAGTTTAGCTAAAGTTTCCCCTCACAAGGACAAAGCAGAAAACTACAAATACCAGCTGCAGAGCCGGGTGACACCATATGTTATCTTCTCAGAGTTTTGTTTTTTTTCCCTCACATTTCATACTTCTAGTCCACACACAGCAGTTTTGCTGAGCTATGGTGCTAGGGCAACAAGGGTATAAATGTAACCTTGTGAGGATGTGCAAACCAATTCACTAACAAGTATCACCTGGTCTGAGGTCCTGTATTCTACACAAAAATGACAGACCCAGAGTGTGTTAAAATTAGGTCAGGGACTTTGCATAGGCTATTATCAGTGGCTCCCAAACTTGGCATTATCTCAGAAGTTTGTTGGAAAAAAAACCAGATTCTCTAGTCTTCAGTCCTCAAAAAGCTACTAAATTAGAATCCACAGGTGTCTGAAAATCTGATTTCTTTTTAACAAACCATCAGGTATTTCTGATGACTAGCTGTATTGTGGCGCCATGTCTGTTCTTATTTAAACCCCCCTGTAATTTCACAAAAGTATAAATAGTTCCATTTAGAAAGCTGAGAATGAGTAGGAAGCTTTTCCAAGGAACACCGCCAACAGGGAACCTTAGCTGGAATCAAGCCTAGCTTGGTCACCAAAACATCCACAAAGAACTGCATTAGGTGCTTCACCCTGACTCCAATCTACTAACTGCCCACGAAAGACTATTTTCCTTGAACACAGCTGACCACATGCACAATTTTGAAGGAAGCAACAAGTTTTGTCATGGTCTTTCTTTCCCATCATCTCTTTCTTTCTCTCACCTGTATCAAGAGCTAATGATGCTACTAGCCTCCTGAGACATGCAAACCATAAGTTCCTCCATATCAGAACGCTCCCCTTCCTAGGCCTCCTCCTCTCAGGAACTGGGTATGGACAATCAATATGGGATGGTGGGAGGAGGTAAGCCTTCCACACCCACCCACTTCCCTGGCAAGGTTCAGTTTCATTATCTCCCAAGTCCACTCAACAACCTCTTGCAACCTTCCACGAAGTACATGTATTAAAAGACTGTTGCTCACAAAGCAAACTGCTTGTATAAAATAATTGATTCCTAGCCGGGCTCGGTGGCTCAGCCTGTAATCCTGCGCTTTGGGAGGCTGAGGTGAGTGGATTGCCTTAGCCCGTGGGTTCGAGACCCGCCTGGGCAACTTGGCGAGACCTTGTCTCTATAATAAATCAAAAATTAGCCGGGCGTGGTAGCGCATGCCTGTAATTACGGCTACTCGGAAGGCTGAGGCGGAAGGATCACCGGAGCCCAGCGGGTTGAGGTTGCGGTGGCTGGGAGCAGCCACTGCACTCCAGTCTGAGTGACGGAGTGAGACTCCAACTCAAAAAATAATCATAATAATAATAATTCATTCTTCCTTAAAAAATACATCTGCAATTACCAACCAGAGTTTCAATAAGTGTGAAATAACTAGGGTGGATACAGTTTCATCAAAAATTAAAGAAATCTGTTTTTGTTACTCTGTGCAGCCTAATTGCAGTCAAATGTACATTTTCCTTTTTTTATTTTGAGTTGGAGTCTTACTCTGTTGCCCAGACTGGAGTGCAGTGGCCGCTCCCAGTCACTACAGCCTCGACCTGCTGGGCTCCGGCGATCCTTCCGCCTCAGCCTTCCAAGTAGCTGGAATTACAGGCATGCGCTAGCATGCCCAGCTGATTTTTTGATTTATTGTAGAAATGAGGTCTCACTGTCCAGGCGGGTCTCGAACCCTCGGGCTCCGGCAATCCACTCACCTCAACCTCCCAAGGCGCGGCATCACAGACTGAGCCACCGAGCTCGGCTACGTTTTCTTTAAAGACCTTTAATAGAACAAGGCCTAGCACGGTGGATCAAGCCTGAAATCCCAGCACTTTGGGAGGCCGAGGTGAGAGGATTGCCTGAGCTCAGGGGTTCGAGATCAGCCTGGGCAATTTGGTGAGCCCTCATCTCTACAATAAATCAAAAATTAAGCCAGGTGTGTTGGCGTGCACCTGTAGTTCCAGCTACTTGGAAGCCTGAGGTGGAAGGATCGCCTGAGCCCAGCAGGTTGAGGTTGAGGTGGCCGTGAGCGTTGCCACTGCTCTCCAGCCGGGGCGACAGTGAGACTCCGACTCAAAAAAAAAAAAAAAGAACTTGCAGTAAACAAAGTATGGCCGGAATTTCAGAGTAGGAATAACTGTAGCCAAAGGAATCATCCCAGTGATGAGAACTTCAGACGTCATGGGGGGAGGACTGAATCATGGACTCCAAATCTTTACCCCAGTAACAGCCACATACTCTACTGAGCATCAAATCCGCCCTACATTAGTCAGAAAAAGCTCTGGGGAAGACAGTGTAGATGGAATCGTTTGGGTTACAAAAATACAGCACTTCAAATTTGTTCAGATGTTTTCTCTACTGAAGGGAAAGAGAGAGAGGAAGAATGGGCTCAATACATGCTGTGGGGGTTTTAAACTTTAGGGTTCATGAGAAACACCTGGAGAGCTTGTTACGAAATTATATTCCCAGCACCAGCTCCCAGAGATGCCAACTCTCCAGGTTGAGTTGGGGCTTGGGATTTCCGAGTTCATCAAGCACTTCAGGTCATTTGGATACAGGGTTTTTTTGTTTTGTTTCTTTCCCTCCTCGACTTGCTATTTAAAAAATTCTCAAAACACTTTGGGAGGCTGAGGTGGATGGATTGCTTCCGCCCAAGAGTTCAAAACCAGCCTGGGCTATATAGCGAAACCTCCTCTCTACAGTAAATCAGAAAATTAGCCGGGTGTGGGTAGCATGTGCCTACTTGGGAGGCTGTAGTAGAAAGATCACCTGAGTCCAGGAGGTTGAGGGTGCTGTAAGCTGTGATCATCGTGATCCTGACACCGCCCTCCAGCCTGGGCAACAGAATGAGACCCCCCAAATAAAAAATAAAATAAAATAAAAATTATCAAAATGTAGGAAAGTTTCAAGAACAGGAAAATGAACACTGGTATACACTTCACCAAGATCAAGGATCAGTAAAAGGCCTGATAGTACCTATTTTTGGCTTTGTGGCAACTACTCAACTCTGCCACCGCATCATGAAGTGGCCACAGTTAATACGCATAAGTGAATGAGGTTGGCTGTGTTCCAAAATGATGTTATTTATGGACATTGAAATTTGCATTTCATAGACTTTTACCTTATAAAATATTACTCTTAACTTTTTCCAACGTGTTATATTTAAAAACTTAAAGACCATTCTTAGCTCAAAATTGCAGGCAGGGGATTGCAATCCAGGTTACTCCGTATTGTGATCATGAAGCCTAAGCTCTTCCGAGGATGAACTTTAAATTTATCACTTTTCATATTTAGACTAATCATTTTGTCCCTCTTAGGAAAATTACAAAAACGCATCTATGGAAATATTTTCTGACCCATCCTTTGTTGTATTTTCAGATAGAACATTTTCACAGCTTGCTACAGCTGATAATTTTGGATGTCCTGTGGGGTGCAGTTCCTCATTTAGAAATCACAGTTCAGCCAGTCATTCTCTAATTTTACCACATAAAAAGTATGCATGCTCTAATCCACAACACTAGGGCCCAATTAAGTATCCTTTTATCAGCTTCTTTCTCATATTGAAAAAAAAATAAGGGCAAAAATCTCTCTCTTCCAAATGACTCAAATGGTCCAGGGCATGAACAGCATTTTGTCATTTGTAAGCAAAGAGCTAGGAATGGCTTTCCTTTATTTTTTTTTTTTTCCCTCTCTGGACTTTTGTTGAAAATTAGCTCCCGCCCAGAATGTCTGCTTACATTTCTAGCAGATTGGGTTAGATCTAAGACTAATAGTCATAATACAAATCTGTTGCCCTATGAAAGGTCTTCACCGCTAGGATAATTTCTCAAGTTTTTAAACATTGTTTAATAGGTATCTGAAAGCCAAACAAGAATTCCAGAGGCAAACTCCAGTCTGCATCATGAAACCAACACCATCATAATACAATCTATGTATTGCACTTACCTACTAGGAACAACAGAAAAAAACACTTGAATTAACTGAGCGCATTCCTTCCTATTGAAGTGGCTTTCAACCACCCATCCAAACATTACCTCATCTCTGAAGGAATGAAAACCTCAGTAGTTATCTGAAGCATTCAAGCCTCTATCACCCCATTGCCCTCCCAGCCTCAAAACAAAGTAACCCACTTAATGGCATGAGGATGTATTCCTTCTGATGAAGTTAAAAGGAGTCATAAATCCTCCCACCCCATCCCCTGAGTTTAAACATCAGCTTAGCGGCTGTTTTGGAGTCATACTCCGTGAGACTGTGTGTCTGCCTTTCATCATCTCACAAGCACCCTCTTCCAGCCTCTGAAGATAAAATATGGCATGCTGACTCAGGTGGAGAGGCAGGAATTGCACAGCAGACTCAAACCTCCGTCTGTCGACATTTGAGAACTCTCTGTGTTTCTCTTCCACTGGCTGATTTGTTGACAGCCACATTTCTGGAGCTCAACCAATTGCCTCACCTGATGGAAAATGCTCACAAACTTATAAATCATCTGAATATATTTTCTTGGTAGAAATAGAACGGATTGCTACCTCCCAATTGCCTGAAATGTGTATATTAGCTTATGGGACCAATTTAATGGTTTGAGAGGATTAAGGACTAAAAACTGCATTTAAAAGTTCTATTAAAAAGAGACAATAGTGAAATGCTTTATGTCTAGAAGTAATGCAGGAATTGCAAATTAACAGATAAATGCAATTTTGTTTTAGACACAAAAATTATAAGCGGAAGTTAAACAGTGGGTCTATTATATTAATGCAGTGGTTCTGAAACCTGGCTGCATGTTAAATCACCCAGGGAGCTTTAAAAAATTCCAGTGCCCAGGCTGCACCCCACACCAATTAAACCCAAATCTGGGGAAAGGAGGTAGGGGTTCAAGTCTCTACATTTTTTAAAGCTCCCAGATGATTCCAGTGCATAGCTAAGGTTGAGAACCTCTGCACTGGAGAATATGATTCCTGCCCTTCTGAAGCTTGGTCTTACAAAATCTATGTGGTGAACAGTTTCCCTTCCTCATTTTTGCCAGTAACTTCTTTACAGCTGGAATCTGGAATTTGAAAATTTATAGATAGAGATATAAATTCGCATACACACATATAAAATTCATGCACACATATTTTATTCATTTAACTTAGGCCCTGATTATTAGTACATAAATCAGAAAAACTGAGTGCCTTAGAACTTACAAATCTCCAAATCTTTAAAGAATCAAACTCTACAAAACACACATCAAAGATGTTTAAGTCATAAAAAACACACACACAAACTTTAATCACCTTCAGGAACCATGATCCAATAATATATTTAACAGGTAAGACCTCATTCATCAGTATACAAAAAACAGACAAAAAAACCCCCCTAAACTTTGATTAAGACATGTGCCCTTAGCAAGAGCACTTACAGTTAGAAAGGTTTACTGGTAGCTCTTTGAGGTAGCATATTTGGTAAAGTAACAGAAGTCACAGAGCTGCTCTGCAGTTTCTCCTGGACACAAAGGTACAGGCCATCAGCCTTTGCCCTCAGTAGAGGAAAGTGAACTTGTCTACACTCATTGCCACTGTCAGTCCTAACGTACTTCACCTCCCCTTGGTTATCCCTCCACTACACTTCACGCATTGTGGGTTCAGAAGAATGTGAAGGGAATTTGAGACCAGCCTGGGCAACACAGCGAGACCTCATTTCTAAAAAAATAAAAATAAAAATATTCGCCGGGTGTGCTGGCGTGTGCCTGTAGTTGGTTTCTCGGGAGGCTGAGGTGGAAGAATCGCCTGAGCCCAGGAGAGCGAGGCTGCAGTGAGCCATGACCATGTCACTGCACTCCAGGCTGGGCGAAGGACTGAGACCCTGACTCCAAAAAAAAAAAAGAAAAGAAAAGAAAAAGAAAAACATGAAGACATTTTGATGCTTCTTTCCTCTTGGGGTGGCAGGATCCCAAACTGTGAAGTCAATCTCCTTTGCCATATGCAATTCCCACTGGCAGGAGATGTATGTACCTGGCAGAAAGGGAAATTGGGCATCACGGTACACTTTTGAATTGACTTCAACATTTCATAAATTAAGAGTAACTTATCCCTGAAGGCTATAAAGAGGTTCATTTCTGAATATATTCTCCATGATTCTGGCCCTTAGAAGGCTTTCTCTTTTTTCCTCCCTGGGTAAAATCATTTTGGGGTATCATTAAGCTTTCTGGGATTTTCCTGGCAGAATGGCGAATGGAAAAGCTTAAAAATCCACACACAAAAACAACAACAAAAAAACCCAGGAGCAAGAGCAACACCAAGAACAGACTTCTTTTGTGCAAGTTGAGATGACACAAGTTTACAGAGTTCAGGAAAACGGCCTGCTTCTTTAAAAAAAAAAAAAAGTAAATATTTAGCTTAGCGCTGCATTTTAAACAAAAATATACAGTTAAAACAGGCTAAGGATTAAAGCTGCAAAAATGGTCCCAATAACCTCAGATCTTTGGTGCAGGTCAATTTGCCCAATGGTCATGGATGAAAGGGATTTCTAATCCCTAAGAGCCCTTTTGTCCCAATTAGACTTGCTGTCTGTAAGTTGAACCCTCAGAAGTAATCAGTATACAAGTGAATAAAAATAGCACATGTCCAGGCAAAAAAAGGGCATGAGCTGGGCCTGAGTTGCCAGTTAAAACTCTGTCATTCAGTATCATAGAAAATCCTCAAAGGCTGCCCAGACACGGGGTCTTAGGCACGGAGTATGCCAGCCGCCAAGTCAACATCCACACGACACAACTGAGCGTTAGACTTCAAGTATCCAAGGTGCTACAACAGCTGGTCCTCTAAAGACCTCAGGCTGACTTCCAGGAGCCCGCACCCCACTCCACCCCAACCCATTATACAAAAAGTAAGACACTGCTATGGTCACTACAAAGGTTGGGGTGGAAGGTGAGGAATAAGAGAACTGCTCTCTGAATACACCAGCTTTACAAATACAAATAATGTCTTTTAACATTTTGTACAACTAGAAGGTGCATGAGCTGGTATTCAAGCAATGACTTTAAACTCTTTCTTTTCTCCTCTTTCTGTATCAAACAGGAAAATGGTTCCATTGGGTTAACAGTGTCATTTAAAAATGCCATAAATTAAATAAGTTAGTTCACATTTTTTTCCCCCAGCACTTAAGTTACAGTTAAGTCTCTAATGTGCTTTTGAAGCTTGCTTTAGCAGTTCCAGGTCTCTTCTGCGGACGGGACTGGCTCTGGGACAGCCATATTCGTCCAACTGCAAAGGTATGAATTGTTCAATCACCCCAAGGCCCTGTCCAGCAGGACTGGTAAATAGCTTAGTCCATGATGGTTTAAAGTTTCCGCTGAATCCCAAAAATATGGTACTACCTAAAAAAAAAAAGTTCAAATTGTAAAGCTACTAGTTCCAATAAGTTAACACAGGAGGTGAGTTGGAGGTGAAAACAAAAGCAGCTATTTAAAAACCCTAAACATCCTTACGTCAGCAAGTGAACTCTTACCACCCACCTCTCGCTCCAAGTAACAAACCACATCTCAACACACTTCCTCTAACACTGTCTCCTTATTTAGAAACTATCTTAATGATACCCACTCCAGCAAAACAAGCTCACGAAAATGGTCTGGTAGCTAAATCCCACTATAAAAATTCATATGTTGTATAAAAATTCCTATGTGGCGGTTCATGCCTGTAACTCCAGCACTTTGAGAAGCCAAGGTGGGAGGATTGCTTGATCCCAGGAGTTTGAGACCAGCCTGGGCAGCATAGTGAGACCTTGTCTCTACAAAAAAATCAAAAAATTAGCCAAGCATGGTGGTTTGCACCTACAGTTATACCTCCTTGGGAGGCTGAGGCGCAAGTACTGCCTGAGCCCACAAGGTCAAGGCTGTGGTGAGCTATGATCATGCCACCACACTCCAGCCTGAGTGACAGAGTGAGACCCCAACTAAAAAAAAAAAAAAAAAAAAAAAAAGCATATGTTGCTGACCCCGTAAGAACTTCGTAGAATACAAATACAAATACAAACCTTTGTCATAAAGGTGAGCTGGTTTGGCTAATCCCAGAGGTACTAATGAATCTGAAATGTTCAACTGTTTTATTTCTCCTCTTGTGCTCAGCAGAACAATTGACCTGTATGTAAAGGTTAGAAAATCAGAGCCAATTTCAAACATTCAGCACGTATTTATTGATTACCTTCCTGAACTGAGTACTGAATAGAAATACCACATAAAAGAACTCTAAAAGGAAAAACACCCAGATGCTTCTTCATCCCAGCTGTGACACGTTCCCACCCCTCCGCTCTACAGAGAACTTCTCATGTTGCTATTACAAGGTGTAATATGTAGAGAAAGTCATTTAGGTAAGTTCTCCTAGAGGACGGTTTGGGACACAGTTCTTTTGGAGAATAGACTACTACTATTATTTTTATTTGTATAAATTTATGTGGGTAAATGTGCAATTTCATCACATGCACAGACTACAGAGTGATGAAGCCAGGGCATTTAAGGTATCCATCACTCAAATAATGTACATTATACCCATCAAGTAATTTCTCTTCATCTACCCCCTCCCATATCCCTCTCACCCTTTCTGCTCCATTATCTGTCAGGGAATAGTCTACTGTAACACAGGAGAATTTTTGTTGTTACTGTTGTTTCAGATGTTCCATTTATATATATATATATTTTTAATTATTTTATTTTTAAAATGTGGGGTACAAATGAGGGTTAGGTACATATGTGGTCACCATACAGGTAAAACATCCCTTATTGATGTTATATGCCAATCCCTTTCTTATGGTATTATGATAAATGTTCAAGGTCCACTTATGAGTGAGTACATGTGGTACTCAGATCTTTATTTCTGTACAGACGCTCTACTTATGTATTTAATGTTCTATTATCTGTGCATTAAATGAATGGTTAAACACAATTCTAAAAAATAAATAAAGACAAAATCTGTTCTCCATGGTTTGGTTCAAACAACCATCTTTATCATGCAGTAAATCAACACACATACTCAGGCCTGTCAGTGGGTTCCCTCTTTTCTTCTTTTTCTCTGCCAATACTTTGCTGGTCTAATTACTATGGCTTCATGGCTTATTTCAATATCTGGTAAAATAAGTCCCTTATATTACTGCAACCTGTTTAAAAATATTTTACTATTCTCTTATTTATTTTTCCAGATGAACTTCAGTATCAACTATGAAGTATAAAAGAAAAGTAACCTCCTGGGACACAAATGGAAATATGTCAAACTTATATTTTAATTTAGGTAGAATTACATCTTCACAATATTAATTTTTCCATCCAGAAACAGGGAGCGTCTCCCTTCATTCAACTCTTGTTGTATATCATTCAGTAATATATTTATTTTCTTAATATGAGTCTTGACAGTTCGTAAGATTAAGAGTCTTACATTTTATACTGGTGTGGGTTCCTTGTTGCAGTGGTGATACAGTTCAGGACAACTGCCCATGGCCACCCCACAGACCTGAACTTTTTTAGTTAGGTCTGCATTACCCATGAGATCACATACATATCACTCTCTCACACACAAATACACATTCAGTCTCCCTACAAGTCACTGCCAGTTGTACCACAATTTCTTAACATTTTGTTAAAATACAACATACACACTGAATTTTGTAACTAACCTGCACCCAGATCAAGAAACAGCATTACCAGTATCTCAAAAGACTTTCTCATGTCCCTTTCAAGAAACCATCTCGTGACTTGCTAAAGAGTTGGCTTGAACTCTGAAATCTACAGAGTACCTTTCAGGACTACCATGTTGTGCTAAATATTTGTGGTGAGATTTATGTCCTACATTGTTTTAGGGGAAGTGAGTGCACATGTTTTCAAACTTTGAAAAAAATCTTTAAAGCCTTAAAGAAAATTGAGGCCCTATTAGTGTCTTAAACCAGAAGACAGAACTCTACATATACATTGAACATTACATGCAAATAATCCAGTGACTTCACGGGACTTATTAGGATCTGGTTCTGTAATCTGTAAAGAGCTTAAGTGATCAGAAAAGCTAGACAGGCTTTCACTCTCTGGGAAGCTTATGTTCCTCCCTTAATGGCTTCACTAAATGAAGGTTTGTGTATAAATCAACATCTGTGGCAAAGCCAAGGGGCAGGAAGGATGTTAAATTAATCTGGCCTCCAGGCAGGGTCTGATCAATCCAGAAAAAGCAAGGTTTTTCTCCCACGCATCTTTCTTCAGAGACCAACAACAAAAATAACCCCAATCAATCTAGTGCTCTTAAAAGAAAGACCAGACATTCAACCACTTAAAAACCAATTTACTCTTTTCCAAGGCCATTTTCAAGTGACCCAGGTGATGATTTCCTGTATCACAGTCATAGTACAACGCTGTCCCAGAGTTCATCAGTGGGACAGTTAGCTGCAAGGGTAAAATGTCTAGAAAATTACTTCAAAATGGTAATAGGCCTTCTGATGGAGTTGGGTACAAAGTAGATCAACTTAACACTAAAAAGTGTAATACTTTGATATAATTTGTTTTACAAGACTCAAAAATAAATAAATAGTGGGACAGTAATGAGCTTTTCTCCTTCTAACCCACAATTTGCCAACCCACAATTTGCCAAATCTTCTAACATCCACATTCTGCCATTGATAAGCAATAGTTTGTCAGTGATAAGTAGTTTAGACCACATGGGCATCCATCTGAGGTTTAAAAACAAAAAAAAGGAATAAATACGTTTCACCGAGTCCTGAATGCCTGTGAAGTAAAAGATCAGGCAGATAAACTAGAGCTCAGAGTTAACCAGGCATTATCTGACGGGAACACGCCACAGCCTTAAAGTGGCTTGTCCCAGAGCAAGCTTGACCTACCTTGGAGGGATGCCTGTTTTTAAATACTCTTCCATGCGACTGACATCAGCAAGAGGGAAAACCTTTTTTTCCATCAATCGGAATGGAACGCTGCATGCATCCACAACGAGGAGAAGGACACCTGGACTCCGGAAGGTAAAGTCAGTGCCATTGACCTGAGGACACAAAAATGTCTTCTACCGTCATCACTAATTCAGGAACATCTCCAGGATGACTCATTTTTCCTTTTGTCTTCTAAACATATGAATCAAAGTATAATTCCAGGATTCAAGTTATAGATTTCACTTATTGTTTCCCCACCAATGTTTACATTTGTGTCTGTGTTCCTATAGACTCGGCCTACAGATTCTGCCTTGACTGATCTTTGCTGACTACAGAAGATTCCCTGAGCAGGGTGTGGTGGGTCCCAGTCAGCTAAGCAGGGTGACTCACTCTGCAGTGCTCAGCGCCTTCATTCTTACACACATTCTCTCATTGGAGTCAAAGCTGGAAGTCAGTAGTCAGGTGCAGCCTCCGTATTGCAGCTAAGACAGCTCATTTACTGTCATATTGGCTCAGAAAAAAAAAAAAGTTTAAGCCGGGCTCCGTGGCTCAGCCTGTAATCCCGCGCCTTTCGGAGGCTGAGGTGAGTGGATTGCCTGAGCCCGCGGGTTCGAGACCCGCCTGGGCAGCGAGACCTCATCTCTACAATAAATCAAAAAATCAGCCGGGCGCGGTAGCGCATGCCTGTAATTCTGGCTACTTGGAAGGCTGAGGCGGAAGGATTGCCGGAGCCCAGCAGGTCGAGGCTGCGGTGGCTGGGAGTGGCCACTGCACTCCAATCTGGGCGACAGAGTGAGACTCCAACTCAAAAAAAAAAAAAAAAAAAAAAAAAAAAAATATATATATATATATATATATATATATATATATATATATTTGTTTATATATACTTCATGTCTTGACCCATGGAAATTCCCCACTAGAGTTCAGGTTTAGAATATCATAGAGGCTAGGCTCAGTGGCTCAGCCTGTAATCCTAGCAGTTTGGGAGGCTGAGGCAAGTGGATTGCCTGAGCCCGCGGGTTCAAGACCAGTTCGGGCAACTTGGCGAGACCTTGTCTCAACAATAAAATAAAAAATTAGCCGGGTGTGGTAGCATGCACCTGTAGTTCCAGCTACTTGGAAGGCTGAGGTGGAAGGATTGCTGGAGTCGATGCTGGGGTGACCGTGAATGTGCTACTACACTCCAGCCTGGGTCATGGAGTAAAACTCCAACTCAAAAAAGAATATCATAGAAGTCCAATTGCTTTATCTCCTTTGCTACAAATATAGCTCTCCTCTGAAATAAAAAAGACAAATTAGTAATTTTACTGGAATTTAAGCTACAAGGCACTACTACATCTTTCACAATGATTGTGAGCTGAATCTTTAAGTCATCCTCTCTAAATGAACAGTTTATGATCTTTTCAAGAAAAAGGAACTTCAGATATTTCCAAATATAATTAATCCCTCAGTCAAAAAGAAAAAAGATCAAATGACTAGACTAAATGTTAACTAAACCCACAGGCACTGTTTCTAAGGTATAAAATTATAAACTATGTTTAAGGCTAACAAAGGAGACATGTTATCACCAGTACACCTGTCTTTGCTTGGGGAAAGTATGGTATTTAAATTTTTTTTTTTTTTTGAGTTGGGAGTCTCACTCTGTCGCCCAGACTGGAGTGCAATGGCCGCTCCCGGCCACCGCAGCCTCGACCTGCAGGGCTCCGGCGATCCTTCCGCCTCAGCCTCCCGAGTAGCCAGAATTACAGGCATGCACTACCATGCCCGACTGATTTTTTGACTTATTGTAGAGATGAGGTCTCCCTGCCCAGGCGGGTCTTGAACCCGCGGGCTCAGGCAATCCACTCACCTCAGCCTCCCAAAGGTGCAGGATTACAGGCTGAGCCACCGAGCCCGGGTGGTATTTAAATTTTATTTCTAATCACTGTTGATTTCACCAGAATTCAAAATGGCCCTTCACCTACATTTAAATTGCACAAATCCAGTGAGCAGTTCTGAAATGCTAGAGTTAAATTTATATGTGGAAAGATAGACGTGATTTTCCAATTTTTAGAAATCTCAAAATTTGAAATTGAGGTACATTTAAGGAAAAAAAAAACAGTCCTCAACACACTAAAACTGTCCTCATGAAAAGTTACCCCCAAAACTTGTTTAAAGAAAACAAAAGCCTTTCCTAAAAACTGGGTGTGGTGATGAAGAAAAGCTGGGTGTGGTGATATGTGCCTGTAATCCCGGAAGGCTGAGGCAGGAGCATGAGGCAGGAGCATGACTGAAGGGAGCCCAGGAGTTTGAGACCAGCATGGGCAACAGAGCTAGACCTTGTCTCAAAAAAACAACCCCCCCCCACAAAAACAAAGAATTGTCAAGTCCTAAGGAAGAACTTTCAGGTGATGCATGTTAAAAGTACGGGAGATAAACATGACAAAGCAGTGCTCTACGACTTTTCTAGAGTCCCAGGCATCCAGTGTGCAGCAACGGAGTGTATAATGTCTTCAGACCCTGAGGTGTAGCCTGCCTCACATTTTTAATTTTAATTTTTTGGCAAACAACTGTTCTATCTTGAATTATCTAGTGAGCTACTGGAGCGGTGAGACTCAGCACCCATCTGCTTCCCTGATGCAACTTCTATTAGATACCAGACTAGCAGGCTGAGATCAGGTTCATTCAGATGCTGAGCTAGCAAACTTCATGCCAATAAAATTACATCATGAGCATATTACAAAATGTAGGACTGCTAACAGAGGGGAACAGGTATAGGTATAGAGACGACGTCAAGCGAGGTGGCTCATGCCTGCAATCCCAGCACCTTTGGGAGACCGAGGCGGGAGGATCACTTGAGCCCAGGAGTTTGAGACCAGCCTGGGTAACATAGCGAGACTTTGTCTCTTACCAAAAGATCAAAAAAATTAGCTGGGCATAGTGATTTGTGCCTGTAGGTCCCAGCTACTTGGGAGGCTGAGGCGGAAAGACTGCCTGAGCCCAGGAGATCAAAGCTGCTGTGAGCCATGACAGTGCCACCACACTGTAGCCTAAATAATAAATAAATTGAGACTCGAAGAATCTCTGAAAAAAAGAACCTCTGAGCTACATTTAAGTAGGGATAATCTTAAATCAGAGTTGTTAAGGAAGACCTAAATTCTGTAGCTAGATAGGAGTCGCTGTGCAACAATATGAATGTAATTTATGCCACTGAACTGCACACTTAAGAATGGTTAAGATGGTAAAGTGTATGTTATGTTTATTTTACTACAATAAAAAAGGTTGAGAAAGAAAAAAATAAAATTTAATTTTATCTGCATATAGAGATTTGTGATTTTGTTGCCCACCGGTGGGCAAACAACAACAAAAAAACTGAACCCCGTGTGACTGGGTTCAGGACCTATCTGATTAGTTCTTCATATGATGGCACTCAGGTCAACCTGATTTTGGACAAGTGACATGCCAAGACCTTTTGGCTGTAAGCCCGAATTCTAGTAATGACACTGAGACTCACATCTATACTTCCATGAATCTGCTTAGAAAAGACAACTAACACTTTGGATCTTTACTTTCCTCATCTGAAAGAATAGAGAGGAGAGACAACCTTAAAATAAAAGGCCAAAGAGATTTTAAAACCTTCATTTTTCATGTCCTAAACAACTTTGGTACTTATTTTAAGTTTCAAAAAACAAGGTTAAATATAGTTTTCCACATATTGATTGCCTATGGCAATTATTTTTTAATCCAAGATGCATTTTCTCTTATAGAAATGAAATCTGAAAACTGTAATGCTCTCGTAAGTGAAAATGTGAACAAATTTTAACATCAGCCTCAAAGTAATCAGTAAATACAATCTATTGAGAAAAAAATTAATTAAAGAAAATTTTTTTGTTTTTTCAAGTCAGGGCTTCACTCTATCACCCAGGCTAAAATACAGTAGCACGATCATGGCTCCCCACAGCCTTGACCTCCTCCTGGGTTCCCTCCACCTCAGCATTCCAAGTAGTTGACTGTAGGCACAGGCCACCACATCCAGCTAATTTTTTTGTTGTTGTTTTTTTTTTGTTTTTGAGTTGGAGTCTCACTCTGTCACCCCGACTGCAGTGCAGTGGCCGCTCCTGGCCACCGCAGCCTCGACCTGCTGGGCTCCGGTGATCCTTCCGCGTAGCCAGAATTACAGGCATGCGCTATCACGCCCGGCTGATTTTTTGATTGATTGCAGAGATGAGGTCTCGCTGCCCAGGCGAGTCTCGAACCCGCAGGCTCAAGCAATCCACTCACCTCAGCCTCCCAAAGGCGCAGGATTACAGGCTGAGCCACCGAGCCCGGCTCAGCTAATTTTTATATTTTTTTGTAGAGACAAAGTCTTGCTGTGTTGCCCAGTCTGGTCTCAAACCCCTGGGCTCAAGCAAACCTCCCACCTCTGCTTCCCAAAGTGCTGGGATTATAGGTGTGAGCCACTGCACCTAGCCAAAAATAATTAAAAATTTATTTAAAAAAATAAATGTTTAGAGGGCATTTATACTTCTATTGCATTACCTGCCACCAATAATCAAAATGTGATTCCCACCAGTGACTGTACTAGAGATAATTTACATCACCAGGATGAAAGATAAAAGGAAGAAGCTGCAAGAGTGCACACACCAGCTATGGCCTGAATGTTTGTATCCCGCCCTCCCCCCAAATTATTTATATATGTTAAAAAAAAATTTTTTTTTTTTGAGTTGGAGTCTCACTGTCGCCCAGACTGGAGTGCAGTGGCTGCTCCCGGCCACTGCAGCCTCGACCTGCTGGGCTCCGGCGATCCTTCTGCCTCAGCCTTCCAAGTAGCTGGAACTACAGTCATGTGCCACCACGGCTGGTTAATTATTTATTTATTTATTGTAGAGATGAGGTCTCGCCAGGTTGCCCGGGTGGGTCTCGAACCTGCGAGCTCAGGCAATCCACTCACCTCGGCCTCCCAAGGCGCGGGATTACAGGCTAAGCCACTGAGCCCGGCTACATGTTAAAATCTTAATCCCCAAGGTGATAGTTAGGAGGTATGGCCTTTGGGAAGTGGTTAGGACATGAGGGTATAGTCTTCATGAACGGGATTAGTGCGCTTATAAAAGAAGACTGAGAGGGATCTATGAACCAGGAAGCAGGCCCCCACCAACACTAAATCTGCTGGCACCTTGATCTTGGACTTTTCGGTCTCCAGAACTATGAGACATCTGTGACTCAGAGTTCTTCATAGGGTGGCAACCAGGTCAACCTGATTTTGAATAGGCCTCATACCAAGACCCAGTTCCCAGCGGCCAATTTGGCTCTAAGCCAGTTTCTGTCGCTTATAAGCAACCCAGTTTATGGTCTTTTGTTATAGCAGCCAGAGTAGATGATACTTACAGAAATAACAGATGGGTTTCCACGCTGAGTTTCTACTTTATCAGGTGACTGGAACTGCACGGGGAGGTAGTTTTTATGAGGATCACTAGTAAACACCACCTAGATAGGGAAGAAGTTCTATATTTATGGTGACTGTATCTTTCTCCCAAAGCTTCCCACAGTATCAACAGAATTATAATCAAAGCCAGTGGGTGTATTCCTTTCTTTTTTTTTTTTATTTTTTGAATTGGAGTCTCACTCTGTCGCCCAGACTGGAGTGCAGTTGCCGCTCTCGGCCACTGCAGCCTCGACCCACTGGGCTCCGACGATCCTTCCACCTCAGCCTTCTGAGTAGCCGGAATTACAGGCATGTGCTACCACGCCCGGCTGATTTTTTTGATTTATTGTAGAGATACGGTCTCGCCTGCCCAGGCGGGTCTCGAACCCACAGGCTCAGGCAATCCACTCACCTCAGCCTCCCAAAGTGCAGGATTACAGACTAAGCCACCGAGCCCGACTGGGTGTATTCCTTTTTTCTGAACTTTCTGTACATATTTCATGACATAGAATTCCATCTTGCTATGCTCAACACAGTAAGTATATATATGTTTCTCATTTTCTGGCACAATCCCAGTTTCAAATAAATGTAGTTTTGTTATTCAAATTGATTCAATAAGTGCCTAAATAAATTGCTTTATAATTAAATACTTGTAAACATTTTATGGAAAAACAGATACAAATCATTTTTAAATCAGGCTAACTGTGCCAAATTGGGGCTCCCTCACTGTAGGACTGAGGAAAGTACAGATAACAAGAACTAGTCTGCAAGCCGGGCTTGGTGGCTCAGCCTATAATCCCACGCCTTTGGGAGGCTGAGGTGAGTGGATTGCCCGAGCCCGTGGGTTCGA